TTTACTGTAATTTAATTTAGAGAATGAATTACATGTGTGCAGCAAAAGTTTGACAGTAAGGAGCTCTTCATTGTACAAGCAATTTTAGGTGTTTATGAGTGTCTTCCTCAAGCAAGAAAGTCAGGAGAGGATGTTTTATCTGACCGATGTTTTGATCAGCAATCTGATTGAAAAATCTTTCTTGAGAATACAATAGCAGGTTGCGCTTGTAAACCCACAACTTTACAGTTACAAGCCTAAAGCTCTTACTGCTGTTCCACATGGTGCAAGTATACCAAAAGATTTATAATTTTGTTTTTTGCATACATTGTGGCATAGCTCACTGTGACCAATTAATTCATTGAAATGATGTGCTTTTAATATATGATGCATATACAGTAAATTTATATATTCTCAAGTTATTCCCCATTCAGATTTTTATTTTAACAGGTTTAAGTCTAAGTTTAACTCTTTTGTGCTGCTCTAGTGTTTCCTAAATTAACTTCCAGAAAATCTGTTTTAGAAAATACTAGCAGTATTTTTTGTTCTTTATGTCTTTATCTCAGTATTGGTCATTACAGTACATAATAATACTAATCAACTAAGAATGTGTTGCAGTCTAATGTGAGGTTTCTTTTAAAAGATCTTCAGCATGACATACTGTAGTAAAAAAAATAAAGGTTTCAAAAGAAAAATTTTGAAATCTCCAAAAAAATCTCAATTTTGACATTTCAAAAGAAATCTTCCAAAGTGCTGAAGTCCTTAAAAGAAGAACACCAAAAAAGTAAGGAATACACTCGTACACACGTATAAGACAGAAATAACTAAAATCAAGGAGCAGTATTCTGACAGTTTTCAAGGATACTTAACAGACAGCATTGCTAGGCTGACAGGTTAAACTGAAGTAAGCATAAACACCCACAATGGCTTGGCATTTAATGTAATAATATTGGAGTTTTGGCAGAGATGAGAAGTTATTAGAACTCAACATTTTTCTTCGTCTTAATTAGTGCCTTTTACAAACGGGAGAAGAGCTAATTATGAAAGCAAAATGCAATAAAATTGTTCAGCTGAAATGCTTCATATGAAATTAGAATTAACTGCCTGTCAAGAGCTACTAGACAGAGGTGAGGGGGGTTATAGTAACAGTGTATCTGATTGGATGATGGCATATCCCATGGTGCCCCCTGTTCTCATACCTCCGGGCGCTTTCTGGCCCCACCTGCTCTCAATAGCATAACAGTCTACTTCTATATTTCTCCCTAAATGATATTTAAATATTGAAAATTATCAGCAAATTGAGTGCTTGATAAGGGCAGGCTGTTTTTAAGGGATGGACTTTTTCGGCTTTTTGGATAGTACTAGATGAATAACAAGCACCGTTCTTTTTCACATATGCAATTATTTGCCAAGTGGTTGTTTGCGTGGGCAAGGCCTTGTGTGACAAGGTCCTTTCTCCATTAGCATACTTGACAGATGAATGTGCTAGGTCTCATTGGAAGCCACACAGTTACCATGGTGACTCGAAAACCATGTATTTATTACTGCTCAGTTTCATCAATTGCCGAGAAAAAATTGCTCCCACCAATCAATTCATACATGGTTACCTCTTCTAATGATTTAAATGTTTCTTCATCTTATTAGATTCATTTAACAGATCGAGTTATCTGTAACAGAAAATTATTGTTTTGGTACACATTGATGGGCTGAGTATTGAACACAGGCTGCAAGCAGTGCAATAGCAAAGTCAATACATCTATAATTATTTTAAATATTTTTTAGCACTTTGAAAACTATTTGAAAAGGGATAAATCTTTAAAAAGGAAGAATATTAATTACAGACCTGGAATCAAAAGCTAAAGCTAGGTTTTCTGCTTCCACTCAGTAAGAATAAGAAGCAAATAAAAGGTACTGAACGTTTGATTGATTTAATATTTAAAAAAATATTTGGTCAATGAAATACACTTTATTGAGCAGGGAATTTGCTTAACTACTGTATGTATATAAAGTACATTTTCTGAAGTAAATATAGAGAAATATAAACTTCGTTCCCTGCAAGGTAGTATAACAAAAATAATCCTGTCCTCGCTGAAACCTTTCAAAGGCCGGCTGCTTGATATTTGGAGTATGTCACTAAAGCTTTAAAACTGGGGCAATTTCATACAGTATGTCTGCCACCTGAGAAGTAACAGCCACTACAGACATAATTGGGGCAAAAGCTGCTTTATTAAGCAAGCCATCTGCCCTCCTAGGCAGGGTAAGACAGTTATTTGTTTTGAAAGCCTAATGGAATTCAATGTCAGTTCTTTTTGGTAAACATACTAAATCCAAGAAATATGTTTAGTGGTACTCTGTGCTTCCAGTAGGAACCTTTCAGTGTCAGAGCAGTTTTTATATACAGTATATATAAAGGAAGGCAGAAGTGCAAGTCTGGGTGACGCCAGCTTTGATAAGGCCAAATGACACATTTTAATTACTCATAAAGGTTTAGCCGTTTATTTACAAACACCAATGCATACAACTTGGTAAATAGACCCAGAAAATACAAACAAAAACAATGAAACAAGCTATTATACCGTAGGACTGAAATTAGGACACACATCTCTGTGTGTCTTATTGATATTCCAGGAAATAAATGGTATGTCATTATGCAACAATGCTAAACCCATCTGCAGTTTACAGAGAAATCAACTATGCTACTTAAGATCTCAGTAAAACTAAAACAGAAGACAAAAGTACTGTACAGTACATCGCATTTAATTAGTCGTTACAGTGACAAGTGAGCGGGAAGGGTCCGCATCAAGTCGCAATTCCTGACACCAGTGGTGTGCCTTACATTTACAGTGGGGACAGTTTATATTTGGGTAAATTAAATATACTAAGGAGCTTTTAGTGACATAATATGTGAATATGTGAACCTTATTCACAAGAAGAACGTAAGAGTGTTTTGATTAACTGTCCTCCATATTTGTAATATATACAGTATGTCATATAGACATACTGATCATCAATACATGTTTTTCAGTCACAAATTGGACATACTGTATAACCCTTTTCTTTCTTCTTCAGTCTTTGATTAAGCATTTCTTACAAGAGGAAAGTTCTAAACAAGAGGAAGCCTTTCAGAACCTCTAGCTACTGTAGCTTATTTGGTTAATTCCACCCAACTGATCCAAGAATCATCCAGTCATTATTTGAAAGAAGCCAGGACATCAGCTTTGGCAACATGGCTGTGTATCTTTAAGCCAGACCCTTTTTAGTAACATTCTGTTCTCAACCTTCAATGTAGTACCCCTTATTCTTCTTTTCAATATACACAATAAGAGCACCGCAAATAAATTTAGTTTGATTTTTTATAATGCATGGTGGATTCTGTAATTGTCATTTTCTCGCTTTATCATGGTTAAGTGTTCTTCATTGTCTGCTTTTTCTAGGTACTGTGTGTTATTAAACAGTAAAAAATGTTCACAAAATGTTTTCTTTCTAATTTCTTTGTTATGCTTTTGTATTTTTGTTGCTCAAATATCTTATTTCTTATTATCTCGTATTCGAATTCACAGTATTTCTTCAACCTTTTTTTCTTTTCAGCCATAAATGTATGACCAGTTTGCTGCCTGCTGATCAAGCTTATTGTATTGTAGCCCTGCAAAATTTTTTTGAGATTGTCAATAAAGCAATGAAGCAAACATTTTGGTGCATGATGCATGCAGTAACTTAATTTATATAATGTTTTTCCTTCACTATATGAGACTCTGTTAATCTCTTCATTTACAGTACTACAGAATATGACTTCTATATAAGTACTGTACATACTGTAGGGTTTACAATGTCACTATACATAACAGAATTTAATTATTAACTGCAAGATGTATTGTATAAACATGCCTGCCACATAAACTGATGATTATTCAACTAATAATCTCACAAGGTAACCAGAGTAATATACAGAAAATGACAATGCTGTGTACTTCTTGCAAAACTATTATATTTCTTAATAAATTCTAACCCACAGTACTTTGAAACAGCCATTTATTTTGCAGATGAAGAACAGAAATGCAATCATTCTGAAATTAAGAAACGTGGCCATGAACTGTATAATGCATGCTCAGCATTAGCTAATGCTCAAATATTTCAGTGAAAGTGGCATTTGTAATTTTTTCACCTTCTCAGTTTTATTACAAATGTAATAAATTAATTTTATTCCCTGCAATGAGTGTACTATCTGAATGAAGCACAAGTGGGAAACACAATGGGGTCAGACTGATTAGCAAGGGTGTTTATCAAAGTCGGTTATCCTAATAATCTAATACAATTTATTTACATTCAATGACACCACATATATTGAAATGTTCATTCATGGTCTACAAGTCGTTATCAAGGCTTACCAGAGAACATCAGGAGATTAGTGCATTTCACATCTCACTGATTGCTCATGTCAGACATCTTAGCAGACACTGAAGGAGAAGGGTGTATGCAGAAGAATTCAATCAACCAAAGTCAACACATGCATGTCGGTATGCTGCAGGTCCACCAGCATGCTTTATCACATTCTTTCAAATGCCTGAGTTAGAAAAAATATGCAGCTATCCACACAATCAAGTATGCTTGCGACACGCAATACAAAATACAACCCACGACAAGCCCTAGGATTCCCATAAAAATGTGACTGTCGCTCTAAAATGAAAGCTTCCCATTTCATTTTATTCCAATAAGGGTGTGGTAAAGAAACTAGCTGGAAAGTGAAACAATGAGATATTTCATAAAATCTTACTGGAAGTGGCAGTCATTTACAAGTCTTCTAGCAATACATCATGCTCTAAGCACGGACTATGTTCCTTAAAGTTGATCAACAGTTGCATTCACTAGTACTTGAAAGATGCACAATGAATTCTATGTGGGCAGAACACCTGTTTGCAGATTAAACATAATTCAGTTTAAAAGGAGAGGTCCAAGAAATACAGATCACAATCCAAAACCAGTGCTGCAACAACACTAATTTGGTTAAAATTTAATAATCTTACCAAGGTTGTAGTTAGACGTTGCATGCCAGCCTCATCCACCAACATCTTTCTGGAAAACAACTGAGCACACAAAAATGTAAAAAATTAAACCACAACACAAGGATAACACATTAATGCAGTCTTAATGGCAATGAACTGTGTGCATAATTCTCTTAAAGTGAAAATCAATTACATCATACAAAACTAGAACTGAAGAAAGTCTAATACAAACTACTGAGTAGATTACTTAAAGAAAAGTGAATTGGATTTAGACAAGCATTTTACTTGATATATATCTCTAATATATCAAAATATATACAATACAAAATATACAAAATATATCTCTAATTCACCTACCCTGTAAAGTCTTAATCTTCTGGAGTGTCTATTCCAATTTCTTCAGAATTATCTTTTTTTGTTTTTGTCAGTGGTAAGCATTGCCCTATGGACTCTGTATTTCTTTTCACTAACACTTTCAACCAAACTCCTGTGGGCTTATTGATTTTCTTGTTTTCTAAATTAGGCCATGTAGCATGGGGATATGTTTCTTTCTCATCCCCTTCTCTTTACTTATCTATTCCAAAACTCTCCAAGCAGCCTTGATCATAGGATGAAAAAGTGTCCCTGGCTTAAGGAACAAGATAATAATATTTAAATTGTGATTGAGGAAGCCTAAACAAACACAATATCAAATAACAGAGGGCTATTTATCTTATGCTCATCAGGAAGCAAATGTTGGCAGGAAGTTTAACAATAGCTGTGAGGCAGCATCACTCTTTGAACTTGCATTGGACTGCACTAGTATATTTTGTGCCTATAAGAGAATGAAATACACTAACTCAGGAGAGCTCAGGGGTTACAGTAGGTTGTTGTGACCAATTAAATTTTTCATGTATTGTTCACATTTTTATATTGTACTCTGACAGGAGTTCATATTTCTATATATTCACTTTAGCCATTGAAAGACCGAGGGTAATCCTGTCAAAACAACTCTTTAAAAGAGCAGTAAACACCCAGAGGTGAATGCATTTCTTCTGGAACCAAAATTTATTTTACAGGACAACACATGGAAGATCTTTTTAAACCTGATGCTGCTGTTGACTTCAAAACTTCTAAGGACTTTAGGCATCATGCATTTGAGCTAATTACTGTACCTTCGTTCTTTTTTTGTTGTTTGTTTTAGCGGAATGGTCATGAAGAGAATGAAAGCTGGGAAACATAAACCACATGTACATTGGGCTTCAACCCACCTTGTCTGAAATGTAAATGTCACTGTATGTTTAAAACTCTGATGCAGGGTCCCATTCTCCACATGTCTCTTCTGCCCCCTCTGCAAGAAGAGGAAGGAAATGCATTGTTCTCAGTTGTGACACACTTTTCACTAATATCTCTGCAGGTAAGTCTGGCTCCTATGGCAATTCAGGCAGAGGCTGACCACTTTTCCTTGCTCGATACTTGTTTTACTGCTAAAGTCTTTGAATTGAACATGAGCGAGGGGGAAAAAAGATCAAGTTAGTTCCACTCATTTTCTTCTCACCATTGATTGGAGATCTAAGCGTGGAGGGTAAAGTTAGTGGAGCTTTGGGGAAAAAAAGCAATTAATGCCAAAATTGTCTCATTTCACGCTACCTGCATCTTCCTCTATTCTTGTTTTTTTCACACCAGGTATTTAAACAGTAACAACTCTTCTTCAATTAGAAGACAGTGTGCAGAAGACCAGACAACCAGAAGGAAAGAGGTTCCTGCTGTGCTTGAGGTTATTTGAAATGTTTTAGTGTTAGTAATGTAATATAATAATAATAATAATAATAATAATAATAAAAAGCAAATAAACAGGGTGTGAAAACAGAAAAATGAAACACCAGATTACATCTGCCACCTTTTTTATTTTCAATATTCAAATAATTATAACTGTAATAAAATGTGAAAACACGTTTGTTTCATTTCAAGTTATGGAATTGTTTTTTAATCACAAATATTCTTCACAATTTGGTTTCAAAATGAGTTCAAATGCAAAAAATCTGTTTATCAATAGTTGAACACTGATAAAATAGGCTTCTAATGCCTTCAGTGCAAAGTCATACGCAATAACCAAGGGCTTATTTCCTTCTGTTATTAACATTAATTTTCCATAACTGTCTTATTTTCTTATCCCTAACAGCCAAGAGTCTAAAGCTCTATGTCTTAATTTGTCTCGCACTGATGTTGAAAAGATGTCCTATCTCTGCTTTAATTCATGGTTTAGCCGGGCATACTGTATGTGTGAGAAGTCATTTTCATCGACTGGTGGACTGGTGGTTGACTGCTGGTGGTCAATTGGGCATGCAGCGTAGAAAAGGCCTGGACACTGCTGACCTATCAGAAGTCGTTGTTATAAAAGCCATTGAACACAACTTCAGAAATTAACTGTGTAACCTTTTGGTCCACAGACTACACTAAATGTTTCTCTGTTACAGAAGACCGAAATAAACAGAATACATCTAATTATAAATTATGTCTTAAAATTTATTTTTTTGCCATTTCTCAATATTACTGAAGAGACAAATCAATGAGGTTAAACTATTTCATTTTCTTAACTACTGTAAGTAATGATGTTCTGGTTACTGTAGATTTTTTTGCTGGTGTGAGGTAAAGATCTGGACAACATCTAAAAATTAAGTGCAATAGCCGTTATTAAATTTCAGCCTGTTATCTGTTGGGCCTGTTCTCTCAAAGTTACTGCCTACTACTAATAACAAGGGGTTCACTCAAGGTCAACATAGAAATCACAGTCCCAAAAGTGTAACATTTCCATTTTAAGGACAAATGCTGAAAATGTGATAAAACTCTTTATAATCAAAAGAAAAAAAAACAATACAGAATCTATTTCTTCATATTATGGTTTGAGCAAAGTTGACTTCGAATAGATGAAAGAGTAAAACGAAATCCCAATCTTAATTCAGAACTCATGAAAACTGTGAAAAGAACAAGAAAACAGTTTTCTTTTCATTAGCTGACTGATTTTGAAGTCTACATTTCCCTAGGTCAAAGCAACTCTACTCAACCTCACTCTAAACAGTCAATGCATAATTCAGTGATGTTCTGTGCTTCAAAGAGAAGTGCTTTGAAATACTAAACTTTGAACTGCTTTATATAAAAATTTCTCTCCTTCCTTGAAAATATACAGTAGATAGTCACACCTCATCTCACATACATAAAAGAGTAGCCTATGACCAAGTAGGTCAATAAATTGAAAAGTATAGTGAACTCAGTAGCATACAGCTGACTAAATTACACATCCACAAAGTTTTGCTCAAAAAGGGCAATCTGATGACCTCATACAAAGTCTACCACAAAATAGCTCACACATATTATACTTCCAAGACTTTACATTAACCAGATAGTGACATTTTACAGGATTTGCTTTTTCACAAAGACAGAATCCTGACAAAGGATTCTGACAAAAGAATCATACTTGACAAAAGAAATTGGCATGACATACATTTCACTTTTTTTTAATCCACCCTTGGCTCACAGTGAGAATTCTTGTACCACACAGAGAGCATGTGTATGGACACACATGCTCTGGCAAGCCTTATGGACATTAGAGCCATCCGTTATGTGATGTCACACAAGATTCACAGAACACTTAGCACAAAGGGGCAGACAGTACGTCCATCGCCTACAGTACTGTATATCACTGCAAGCATGTAGGCACCCAGGAAGTGGCAGAAGTCACTGTTTCACAGAGAGATCCTAATCACAACCTTGCTCCCAATGGTGCTCTGCCAATTACATGCTGCCACTTGGGAAATCTTAGTCACAGCTGCCCAGTGATGTGTGGAGACATTTTTGCCCATACTTTAACACGCGGTGCTTTGTGTTCTGTAGTCCATTTTGTTTTCTGCTTTTCAACCCATCCCCTGCCTTCAAGCCATCCCCAACATCTCAATGGCTAACAGTTATTATCTTTCTTGTTAGCAGAAATGTGTTTGAGGACTTTACAAAATGCACTGAATCATCCTTCTGGTATACAGTACATGCTTCCATCCAATAAGCTTTCTAGCACTGGGTAACATACTGTATGTGAATGTTTTTCACAGAATTCAGTGCTTCTGTAATATAGAGATTGCCAGTACCTGAGGAAGATAAACCCACGCTAGGATATTACCACGACCATGTTTAACACTGAGTATAAGGAACATTTTTCATTTTTCCCCTCTTCCTCAAAACACAATCAATCTTGTTGATTTTGTTTTGAAAATAGTTCATGTTGTATTGGTCTGTCTATCATTTTCCAATGAAATAAATCAGAGGAAATTTTTTAAAAAGTCAGCGGAAAGCTCCAACAGTTTTCTATATGTACTGTACTTATATTAGCAAAGGTGTGAATCGCAGTTTCTTCCCATGAACATTCATATGTTAAGTTATCATTGAGATGATGATTCAGAAATTCCTCTTCTCTCAAATCGTTAATTCCAAATCTAACTAATTCAAAATTTATCAGGCTGCCTAAATGTCAATCTGTAAATTGACATATTCACATTTTTATCTTCATTTAGAGGTACAGTATTGCTCACATTTTCAGTGATGTTTGCTACTTTTTATTTTAATCAACTTTGTGGTGTTTTGAATCACAAGAAATTAGTTTCAAATGAAATGTGGTGGTTACCTACAGTAAATACTGTACTTCTAGCAAAATATGTTTTTTTTTCCTTAGGATTTTTGTACAAAATTACTGTTATACTTCAGAATATGAATATGTAAGAGCAGTTTATTTTAGAAGTCCTCATATACATTATATGAAGTCAATTAAAAAAATAATTTGTTACTGAAAATGGTTCAAAAGGGGTTTGGTTTTTGATTTGAGGAATTAAAAATGCTTTGGTTTGTCTTCCCAAGGTTATACTTAATAAGCGGTCTGCATATTATATTTCAAAATTAATGCCCTTGACACAGCTTTATGATTAAAGTTACCTGAAGTTGCTTCTTAAGACACAGTGGCTAGAATACAGCCTAGAGAATACAAGTGCACTTTTATTTAGCTTCTGCTTAATTAAAAATATGGTCAAATGAGATTTACTTCAATAAAAAAATTATAATAGGTCACTTAAAAGATAGTTACAGTTGACAAACTTCATTAAAGTCTTCAGATGCAATTTGGAAAATAAAAGGCTTTGTCACTCTAGAACTAATTTCAGACATTTTAATCTTTAAAACAATTTATCACATAGACTTAAATATTCAAAAGCCATTGTCTTCATAACCTGCTTATTAGAAATATTTTTTGTTGGTGTATGACAACTATCTTTTTTAATTTAGCATTTCTATTAAATAAATTGTTCTCCAATACATCCTCTTAATTTAGATCTAAGCCATTATGATTGTAATTGTTAAATGCTAACAGCCATATCTTTTGCACTATGTTAAATCATTTCAGGTGACTGAGCAGCCTTGTCCTCCTTCTGACTACCAACACAAAAAAAAACAAAACATTTCAGACATACCTGTAAGCTTGAATTCTCGCAACATGTTTAGAGAGATTTGTTTAAAGAGCTCCGTCCTCGTTATCTTCTGATTAAATAAATTAGTATTTAGGTGACACGATTCTTGCCTCCCCTCTCAGTCTTTACTTCCATGTTTAATGACATCTTTTCCATCCTAATCTTAAATTATTAAGTGACTCTAACATTGCATCATGTCAGGGAAGCAATTAAGAACTCCTAATGCTTAAGAGTGTTTTCCATATCTAGTTTTACATGTTGCAGTGTATTATATTATCTTGAAGCTTCAGATTATGTGAAGATACTAGTATCTCCAAGTTTGTAGTAGACTATACAATTAAAGGTGCTGTAAATCCATCCATAATAAATGAATAGCACATGTAAAACATATCTCCTAGTATACATACACTATAAATAATAGTAAAATGTAAAGAGTGTAAGACTACTGTAATTAGATTTATATTTATTTTTCTGTTGTTTGAGATACACCATGTATAATAAATCAGAAGTTAGACAGGAGCACTGCAGTTGGGTTATTGATTTTAAATATGTAATTTATACAAACAGTCCTTCCAATTAACTTTTTAATTTCTAGAAATAGTTTATTTGACATTTAATTTTTGAAATACGAGGCTCTAAAGAAATGCTGTCTAGAAAACAAACATTTCATTAATAAAGCAAAATCAACTTGATTTGTACAAATAAAACTACCAAAGTATTTTTTAATGGCCTAAGGGACCGACCAACCATTGCAGAGGTTTCACTATTTCACCTGAAAATTGAGTTAATTTTCACAGAAATTGCTTTCTGTGAGCGAAACAGATTCCCTGTCATCAGCTTTTTACACTCTTGAATGCATATTATTTTTTAATTCATAGACTGCAGCTCTTCAGAATTAACATCAACTTTGATTTCACAACATGGCATTTCAATTGAAAAACAATCTTCCTAGGCTTCCAAATGGTAAGCTACATGAAACTATTTTATTTTTTCAAGCATACATTAATTTAGTAACACTTTCGATGCCAGGCATCCAATATGTAACCACTCCTCAGGTATTATTTGTCCTTCTACAGGTGCTCTCCTGGTGAATTACACAAGATTATATAATTCCTAAGGAACACTTTACAAATGCACCTATTCAGTCATGAGATTTAGTAAACATATATACTAGCCAAGATTCAAACCTTAATCATAAACACTTAGCAAGCATGCTGCACTTCAGGAATGAAGAGACATGTCCATTCAGGAACAACACATTTATCATTTACAAAGACTGGAAATTAAAACTGTTGTACTTCCCTACAAGGTGACATTTTGCCGTTGCGTTAGGATTTTAAACCGACACTCACACACCTGGGTGAAAAGTCGCATCGCTCACGCCGCCTGCTGGCAGTTAATTAAGACAGTGGTTGGTTTACACACACACATAAAAAAGAATTGTTAAGGCAGACTGATACTGACAATTGAAGAAATGGATTTTAGCAGTTTACACATGCGCCGCTGCAATTGCAATGAGAAAAGAAATATCCCATTTCAGAAGAGCTGTAGGAATACGTTTTAAGCCTCATTCATTAAACTCTCCCTACGGTCAGACAAAATACATTTTCATGCTGCATGTCCAGCCCTGCCAAAACTGTCTTATGTCTTGGGTTAGTTGGGAGACATATTCTGCTGAGCACTTGACATACATAAAACAGCAAATCACTCAGAGGAAGAAAATTCAATCTGTTCAGATGCCAAATGTAATGATTCTGCAGTTTTGAATCACCAGCATAATGCAAACCTGCATTCTCAAGACATCAGCATGTATGCACTGCCACTATGTTTGAACAGCTTGGCATTGTTGTAAATACGTGCCTTAAGATGCATCATTTTCATCACCATTCCTGGAAAGAAGACTCATTTCTTGGCACCCATTCATATTACTAATTACCCATTCACAAGTGAATACTATAAAGAAATATAATTTTAAGTGATTATGTCTGAAGCTTCTTTACAAAGCAAGTAAAGTACCCTTTTTCAACAACTGCTTCAATGTCAGTTTCTATAGGGGCTTCATTTCTCAGCTTAAGGAGGGCGAGTTGGGAGGTTAAACGACCTGTCTAGAGTAACACAGTTTATGCCAACGCCAAAGTGAAGGTGTGAACCATGATCTTTCTGTCAACAAGCTCTTTGGCAGAACCACTGGACCAGTTTAATTTTGTCAGTAAATCTGAAAAAGGGCAATACAGTTCTGAAACAAACAAAAATTAGTAGTTCCCAAATTATAATTTCTACAATTTAGAGAACCAAACACTTCTGTGACCCTCAGTAATGTGTGGTTGTGAGAACAGGTCAATGCAGCTGCACGAATAAAGTCAGTTCATTAAGTAAGAGTCCCTAAAGGGGCTTAAGGTCTATGGTTTTCCTTGCAAGTTGGAAAAAATGTACTCCACGAACACCAGTATTATCCACCACATACTGTATGCAGCACAAAATGGGAAAGGGATACAGCATACACAAGTCCAAATGACAAGCCAAATCAGAAATGCTTTCCTTACCAACGCAATATAAATTGGAACAACATGATCCCCTTTTCTATTCTGTCACTTGATTTATGGTGAGAGCAGGACATATGCTTAGAAACAGCAAGGGAAATCAGTGCTTAATGTCTACTTTTTGGAATTCAGACATTTTAGAAGACTTACTGAATGTGTCCATTCGGCCAGATCAAGTTTCTGCCTCAGTCCGTAAAAGGAAGACATTTGACGACAAAGATGTGAATGTTAAGATGAGTGGGAGCACAATGTCCCAAGAGGCATGGGAAAACAAACCCCGAAATTGGAGCTTAAAATGATATCACTCGGAGTAAAGAAAATGTATAATGTCGATAAATCAATACACCCATGACAACAGGACTCATGCAATACATGCTTATGTCATTAAGAAATATGAAACAGCCTCATGGATGTAAAAAATGAAGATAATATGTGTGCTTTGATGTTTAATACTGAAAGTTAGTGTTTCCAATGTTCATTTGATAACTAAAATAAAGCATTATAGTAAAAGCTAATGCATTTCTGGTTTTTGCTTTTTTTTTACCTAGAGTAAAGGGATTTTTTCAAAAGGAACACATTACCCAGGACTCTAAACATTTGCACTGCAGCCCAAAGATAGAGCTACAATATGGTTGAATAGAATCCATTAAATTGAGTTGCCATGCAATCATTGCTGTCATTTATTAATTCTTAGCCCTCCTATTATTTTGTTCAATACACTGTTTAGGGACCATTGATTCCCTTATGTCTCTCATCAAAGACTATTGATAAGCACTCTACCTTCTAAGCTCCCTGTGCCCTAGCCTTAGACCTATTAAAAGGCTATCATGTGGGCATATTTGTGTGTGAGCTCAGCAGCAGTATAATACAGAGTCCTTAGAATTTTAAAAAGCCAGTATGCTGAAAGGTTCAATACTCCAAAAGACAGATGGTCTGAACAAGGGGGACAACTCGTTCATGGGTATAATCAACTGCACAAGCACAAGCAGGCAGGCCCTGATGATGGGCACATTTACAGGAATTACATTTTTGGTTATGCAGGTTTCACAAGATGGGGATCTCGGAAACTTCAGCTAGATTTTGTAGGGTCCATATCTTTGTATGGTTTCAGCATTGGGTACAGTATAAGAATCCATATTGTGCTGAATTCAACAAAATACAATAACCACTCAAGAAATGGGCCTGCATGGAACTGTTTAAACATACAGTAGATATTGCAATATACAGTACTGTATATTGTCTTTCATGAACCATGGTTTATTCTTAGCATTCTGTGCTATCTTCGTTATAAAAGACATTCATTCATATTAATCTTGCCATCTCACATTTCTAAAAGAAATCTCTTGTGCCTTCAGTTCTCCAGATTTTATATTATGTAGCCTGAAATAATCAGACACAATACAACACAACTTAATATGGTATCTTTAATATATAGCTTACGATCATCTTTTACTGAAGGATAAAGTATGATTTATCTAAGATAGATGACTACATCTTTGAAATTATTTGAAAAATATTTAGAAAATATAAACACTGAAACAAGGATATTATCATTAAAATGATCTTCCAATAAACTATTTTAAAAGATTGGAAAAGTATCCACATTTCTAATATTAGCAGGTCACATACTACCTGGCAAGATGGCAATTATCGGATTGTGAGGGTAATTGCTGTCTTATTCATTAGAAGGCACTGATTTCATAGACAAAATGACACAGACAGTGGCCAAAACGGCAAAGAAATGATTTATGTTCAGAAACAGTTTTCCAGCTGTCCAGGATTGACTTGGATAATTTACTGTAGTTTTTGTCAAATCTTTCCCTTTCAATTTCCTCAAAGTGCAGAATTTGAAAGGTTAGATACATTATGATTCAAAGATAAGAAACACAAGACACCCCAAAAGACTGACTGCCTGAACTTTCTGTCCTTTTCTGTGAAAATGGTGGACATTTTGGAAAAATTACATACGTATGAAAAAAATAAATAAATATTGCTTGCCTATATTAGTTTTGTGCAATAACCAAATTGTTGTATGCCAGACTAAGTGTGGCAGAAGCCACACGGTAAGACTGTTCATGTAGAAAACAGGTGGTGAGAGTTTTTTAGGTTTGGTGGACATGCAGTAAAAAACAAAAACAGAGAATGCTTGAAAGCAGTTGATGAAGAAAAAGAAGATAATGATGATGATGATGAAGAGCTCCATGTTTCACTATCACAATTAAACATAGAAATAATGTTTGATTACAGTGTTAGAAATGTGTTTGGCCCAGGGATGTGTATGTGTGTAGGGTGGGGGATGCTGTATCACAAAAGTATGTATGTAAGTGTGGTATAGAACCCAAAAAAAAAGTGAAACACTTGTGTGGTCTTTTTGAAATTTGAATACAGTTTAAAAAGAACTTCTTTGTTTTATAATATCCACAGCTTCTGGCCATTCTTTTATTATTCTGGACACTGGAGTAGTGTACCAATGAAAGAGACATGCTCTAGATATATAACTGTTAAAACATGCAGTATAAGAACAGGTGGCTGACACATAAGGTGGCTGCATATTCGAACGTCC